TAAAGTATTCTGTGAGTACAGAGATGAAAACCTAAGCACAAACATCTGCACACTTGAGAGATGAGAAGGAAGGCCTGAGATTTGTGCTGGTCATACATAGGGAAAGATTTATTAGCAGTGTTACTGGGGTGGAGTGTAAGGAACCCTCTTCAACTTAGCCAGTTCTCAGGAGTTGTGAAAGGTTTTTTTGACTGGATGCTACCCAGAAGAAAAATGGCGGCAAATGTGCTAGACGAGGAAAATCAGCTTTAAGCAGCCTTAGAATGGTGGGTAATAACAGTAGGAAACTACAGAAGGATAATTGATCAGTTTATCGGTAAGCAGTCACTTGGCCATGTGAGAGCTAAATCTGTAAAAAATGGGTTACAAAAAGCTGCCTTTGATTTAATATCTCTACATTTTTATTTTAACATGTCATGAAATCATTTTGGCCTCTTGAGAAACCACTTAAGGGGATCTAAATGGAAGGTTAAATCCTTTGAAAAATATAAATTATTTGCTCTTTCCTGCCCCTTCCACCTTCCTTTCCATTTCAATTTACATATGCATCCCGTATTTCCTACATCTTTAAACTACAGGCAGCAGCTGAATGAAGTACATCTTGATTGTATATGAGAAGAGAGGAGGGGAAAATAATCCATAAATGTAAAGATTAAGGGAAGTATAGCTACAATTTCTTCAACAGGTACATCTCTTGTAAGTAGAATATATTGTAAATTCTGTGTGCTGCATGCAGTAGTATGCAGTAGTTAAAAAAAAAGCCGAAACCTGACTAAACCCTAACACTGGTTCATGCTGGTTTCTGTCCATTTCTTACCTCCTTCATTCACATCCGCAGTTTGCATATACCTTAGCAAAAAGAACAACCCTAATCGTTGAAATGTCTTGGTTTTACTTTGTAACCTACTCAAAATGCTGTGTAAAAAATACAGAATTCCACTGTTCCTTTGATCATTTGATGCTCTGTGGGTGAGCAGCTTGTCACATTTCAGCCTCTCTCAAAAGCAAGTAAACAAGCTCGTTTCTATAGTTATGATGGTCTCATGAAGCGATGGTCTCATGACAGAAGCAGGACAATGTTTGGCAGGCATGGTGGTGTTCTGTGTTAGGCCAACTGATGTGCTGTGCAGCCCAGAGGAGAAAACAAGCTGAGAGGCACACAAGGCCTCTGAAGGAAAAGCAGCAAACCTTGTTAAACTGTGTTTTGTAATAATTTACAAAGCCTACACAGGCTTTTGGTGAACTTGATAACCATGATTTTTGCCTTACAACACTTATAAAAGGAGCCATTTTTCTTCTGAATTAGGTATTTGCTCTGCAAGCAGTGTTTAGTGACTAAGTGCTATTATATTTATAAAATATATTATTAAACCATATTTATATTAATAATATATTTTATATATTTGAGTGAATCTTTAATTTAAAAAATATTTGCTCAAATTTTTTTCCAGAATTAAATAACTACAAAATATTTAAATCACATTCTGGCTATTTTTTTGACTTTTCAAACTTAAAGCAGTTGACTTCTAGTACAGAAAACCAATGTTTGATAATGTATGGCTGATAATAACATCAGTTATGTGACAGATTGGTACCTTTAATTTTTCTGTGACATAAATTGGTTGCATCTTTTTTGAGTGATTATGAGAAATAGTTTGTAGCATGCACTTCTATAAAAGAAAACACAAAATTTTCAAACAAAAATGCGCAAATGGGTAAAAAAATATAAAACTTGCATAAGTACGTATTTGCACAAGTGCACTCTCACTTTTAGAGATTGCTCTTTGGAAAGCTGTTACTGAAAAAGCTCTTCCTTCCACATACAACACAAATAGCACAATATTCTGTACTTCAGTGGGGCAGTGCACAGCTTTCTTTGCAGCGACAAATACTGAAATGTTAAAAATATCTGAAGCTTTAAGAATCCCAGATATTTTGAAATAACAAAGGGTGATTTATGTGAGCTCATTTTGCACTTTGACAAAATATAGAGGCGCTTTTGTACTATGATTAGCAAGGGTGCTGATGTCAGTTTGCTTGTCTAGCTTTAAGCTTTATTCTGCTGCTAAATTGTGCTTTGTACTGTAGTCCAGACAACCTTTGTATCTGCCTTATTAGTGTGCAGTTTATGGAATTGCTTTTGTTTTTGAATATAATCTGTGCCAGTTTCAGAGTGTGACTCACTATAGGACTGAAATAAATGTTCGCATATGCACTATGTGAAAACTCTTCAAAAATAGTAGCAGGTGCCAGTAGGCTAAATTCAATGTTTTAAATATTTAAGACTTGCTGTTTTGTACCCTGAAGGGCTGAAAGGAAATTCTTTATAGCTCAGTGTTTTTTCTCAGTTTTAGAGTCCCATTTACTGATTTATACTCAATAGAAGTTGTCAGGATTGCTAAGAACCTTTCATTCCCTAACACAGTACTAGAAATAAATTTTTAGAAGAGGCATGCCTGGTTGATACAGAGATGATGGAGTTTTTTTGCCTGGCATTTTGTTGTTGCACAAACTGTGAGACAAAATGCATCATGATTCTCAATTGCTCTTGTTCCTCTCCTATCTCTAATGTCTTTCCTCTTGATTTCTGCTTTGAAAATTTCATCTGAGTGACTGAAGGCTGAGGTTAAAGATAAAGCTTGTTTCTACAGTTTGTAGCAGTTATCTGTGATCAGCCTTGCCTGGAGAAAGGCTCATCTACTGAAGTTTCGTGTTATCCCAGCATCTGAGTTGTGACTTGATTTGGAAGCAGGAAACAAAACAAATTCTGCTAATGTTTTTGGGTCACTGTTAAATGCTGCTTATCTAGCTGTGCTGCTAGGATATACTCACATTTGAAATCTAAATTGAAGGGGTTTAATCTATTACATCTTCTAAATTTTAACTGTTCACCAATTAAAATTACTGCTACCATGGAAATAGTTGCTTGAGACTTTGACTTGATTCACACAGTTCGTAATTTAAAAACAGATGCCATTATTCAGAACTGCAGTAAATACAATTGTTTTGTAAAGTATAGACATTATCTTAAAAGCAAAAAAACTTTTAGAGCTTTGCTAGTTGGAGAATGGATCACAAGCCTTAATTAAGCTGTCTGTCCTTTTTCCCTTTCTCCTGTTTTCTGTATTATCTTTTCATTATAGCTTTCGAAGCTTGATACCCCAAACAGGCATGCACAGTGGGGATTTTATGAGTCTCTGGGGCAAAGCCAACAGCACTTGTTCAGAGTGGGGAGATGGCAGTGCGTTACTTGCTCCTTGTCCCTTCCACTAGTTTCTTTGACAGTAGCACCTGCAAAAAAATGAAATTAATGCACTCTTGTGCCTCACAAAAATGGCTCTGAATCTTTCTCTAATACACAGTAAGAAACTCTTGTTTTCAGTGCTGCTGTCCCAGTGTTTAAAGGATATCACACATCTTGACCCCTTCTGGGACCCTCCTTGCTGATTCCATTCCTTTCCTTGGTTAGCACACAGCCAGGGCTGGCCAAAAAGACTGGCTTCTGCTGGTTTGGTTTTTTTGGTTTTGTTTTTTTTTTTTTTTTTTTTTTTTTTTTTTTTGTTTTTTGTTTTTTGTTTTTTTTTTTTTTGTTTTTTGTTTTTTTTTGTTGTTTTGTTTTGTTGGTGGTTTTTGGGAGTTTTGTTGTTGTTGTTGGGGTTTTTTTTCTTTTATCTTTTTTTTTTAATCTTTCAAAGGACTTGCTGACAATCTTGTTTGAATATCCTAAAGAAGTTTAAAGTGGGATGACTTGGGGCATGGTGTGAGTCTGTGGAGTAATACACATTGTCTTGGCTACTGCACTGATTTACCTTGGTCTCCAATTTGCTTTGCTGAACAGTATAAGAAAAAATGGATGACACAGGTGTGGCTCCCCACTGTGTCTGGGCTCTGCTTTCAGATGTCAGAATGTGAAAGACGTGCAGCTCTCCTAGTGAGTAATGGCAGTGTGTCTGTTTCTTCTGCAGTGCCCATTATCCTGGCACTGGGGTATAAAAAGAAGCTGCTAGCATAGTATTAGTGGTAGACCTGAGGAATAAAAGTGCAGCCAAGTGGGGCAATAAAGATGCTGTTGGAAACAGCAGGACAGATGTATGCAGAGCTTGGTTGTGTGTTTTCGGTCAAGGTCTTTGATGAGAATTATGGCAGGTGGTGGAGGCCTATGGGATGAAAGGCAGCTAAGGATTCGTTAGAGAATGCGACATTTTGCATTTGCTTTTCTCTTAGACCAGCTTCTTTCTGCAGCATCAGGAGGGCTGGTATAATAGGCATAGTGTCAGATTATCAAATTCATTTGTTATGTATCTTCCCCAAAGACTGGGTTTGTCTGGTAAAACTACAACATTTGGTCATTCTCTCCATCTCCATCCCTCTAACAGTTTCAAAAAATAATAATGTTGCTCTTTTTCTGTAAGAAGTACTACTGTAGAAATACGATGAGGTTCTGAGTGCAGAGTTCCCCTGGAATCGCGGTGCATGTGCAATGTGAGCATTGTCTGTTCCTTAAATGCAGGTCATATCGTTGATTATCAGGGAAAAATTCAGTTAAAAAGCATCAGCCTGAAACAACAGATACTGGAAAAAAACATCATGGAACACTTAAAGATGTATTTTATTTTGTCTTTCTCATGCCTGTGACAGCTTCCTTCAGAAGCCCTTTTTGTGTGCTTTTTTGCCCCTCTCCTGATCCCCACCCCACTTTTTTCTTTAGTGTATTCATGCTTTCTCATTTTGTAAACAGTGATTTAATTTATATATGGACTTGTTACAAACAAAGCCAAGATATAAAATTTAAAATACAAATTCACTAATCCTAAAGTCCACTGCTGTAACATTACCTAAATAGTGTTAAATGTAGGTATTTGGTGTGTAATCTCTTAGTATAATAATTGAACTACTTATTAGTACTTGGTTCAACCCAGGCTGGAATCACACATAAAAGGTCTTAAAGGGTGATTTCTTTCTTCTAATTTTTCTTCTTTTTCTCTCTCCCCAATTTCCAGGCATGGAAGAGAAGGTGGTTTGTGCTTCGGAGCGGCCGCTTAACAGGGGATCCAGATGTATTGGAATACTACAAAAATGACCATGCTAAGAAGCCTATCCGTATTATTGACTTAAATTTATGTCAACAAGTGGATGCTGGATTAACGTTCAACAAAAAGGAGTTTGAAAACAGCTATATTTTTGATATCAACACTATAGACCGAGTTTTCTATTTGGTAGCAGACAGTGAGGAGGAGATGAATAAGTGGGTTCGATGTATCTGTGATATCTGTGGGTTCAACCCTACAGATGAGGGTAAGTTCTGTTGCTTTTCCTGAGAAAGTGCAGTGCCTATGTGTGAAGAACATTTCAAAGATCAGATGACTATCTTTAGCTGGTGTATGTTTTAAAACTTGTGTGTATTGGCATTGAAACTTCCTTGTTATCCTCAAAAAAAGTAAGCAGAACAGAGGGAGATATTCAGAATTTGTTACAAATTAAGTATGCCTTAGAACTTGGATGACGCTCTTCTGTTCTGCATGATGTTAGTTCTTGGAAGTACAGGAAAAATCTCAAGTAAAATCATGTGCAGCAGTAGATCTTCATAATCGTCAAATGAGTCCCATTTGGTATAAAAACATATGATTATACAACCAGGACTGAGTGCAAAAGGTCAGGTTTCTAATATTACCATTTCTCCGTCTGCTTTGAAACTTGGGGAAAAAGAAATCCACCCCCATCAGCTAAAACAAACAAAAAATAACCTGTAGTTTTGCACTATCCAACTCAAATCCTACCAAAATAGATACTGTATGAAGGCAGCTTGTAGGAAACACCATGATGTGTTTAATTCCTCGCAAATACCTTATGGCCATTGCTTGTCCTGAACCCATTATTTTTTATTTACTTATTATTCCTGCATTCCTTTTGGAGATTAGTGGGTTACATGACTTGCTGTAGCTCTGTGCAGAGTTCCAAGAAAGCATTAAACAGGAGTGGTAAGAGGGTTAATAAGGCATGCCTGACTGAAGGGGCCAGAATTAAATCTCTGCTTTTTGTAGGATTGGGGATTGAGGGAGGTGAAGGAGAAAAAGGGGCTTGCATCACTTTGCTCCAGCCAAATCTTTAAAAGTGACTGGAAAATACTGTTGCATTAAGGACCGAGAAGGAGTCCTTTTCTTTCTCCTTATTGCAGTTTTGAACTACAACTTTGTAATGAAAACCTCATCTATGAATTGCCTCTCTAATCGCAAATTCAGAGAAGGTTGCTTCTTTTGACAGTTCCAGCATGTTTTTGTGGCATCCTGAGCACACCCAGGACCCACAGCACGTCTCAGAGAGCAACTACCATGCAATTCAGTGCTCAGCCTTGCCAGGCGTCCCTGCGTTCGGAGAGGCGTGGGCAGGGGGCAATGCACCAGTGCAGCTGTGGGCAGAAGTCCTTGGTTCTGGGGACAAACTGGAAATCTGGGATCTAAGGATGAAACGTTGGTTCATGCCACACCTGGCAGCTCTTTGGCAGAGCACAAAGGAGCACATGTCCATTGCACAGAACAGAGAGGTGGGGTCTCCTCAAAACCATCAGACCTTTCCTCTGAGAGCTGGTGTATTGTTAGCCCTTAGTTTTCTGTCATTGAACTGAACATGAAACCTGCTATGGATGTGGAGAGATGTAACTATGCCTTCATAAACTGAGTTTTTCTTCAGTCAATTGTATTGATAACTTCTCCCCATTGTACTCTCATTGCATGTTTCATCTTTGGCATTTTAGCTTTGGCTGAATATTTTGGTTTGAAAAGTCAGGCGTCTACTACACTGAATTATTCCAACACCTTTACTTCACACGACTGAGAGTTGACAGCGCTGTCTGTTTGATCAGTTTAGTGATGCTTGCAATGCATTAAGGAAGAATTTAAAAAAAGGAAAATGTGGAAATCAGTGGCTGAGCGTTTATTGCCAAGTTCTTATTTTTCTAAGATGAATCTTCCTGCCAATGGAAGAGCAGGTTGCAAATGTACTTTAAAAATCTGTGTTCACCTGCAGCTTATTTTGGGAAGTTAAAGAACAGGTGAAGTTCAGGTAGTAAAAACACACTATTATTTTAGTCTGGAGCTAAACAAAAGGAGCATGTGGCATAACAAATCTTTCTATTACCTGTGGAAGCAGAAGACAGTTTTCTTTGAAGCTGGAAAAAATGTCTCTTGCCAGACTGTGATTAAGGGTTGCATTGTGAGTGTCTTGTCATTGGTATCCATTGCTCAATCAAGAGCTAGGAACACCACTACCCTGTTGCTCCTTCTGGGGTTCATTTGGAAATCCAGGAACATTACCTTCTTGGATTTAAAAAGAAAAAATTTGCAAGGCGACAGTGGCTAGTGCTATTAGAAATCAATTAGGGAGTTGATGTTTTAGTGTTGGGACAAATGAGGGAGAAAAAGTTGCTTGTAACTGTACAGAGACGAGAAAAATAATGGTCAGAGTAGCTTTGAGCTGCTGCTTTCATACACAGCAAAGACTCAGTGATTCCTGTAATGTAAAGTTTGGTCTTTGTTTTATTTTATTAGAAATTATTTTGAGTACTCATTTTTACCTAATGCTTTGCTTTGACCTTCCAACTAGAAACTGATTTATGCATGTGAAATCTCTACATTGTGAAGATCTGCAGTGTTACATTTGTATTTGGACAGAGTAGATAATTTATGTTCTTCAATCATATTTACAAGCATTGAGTGTTCACATTTCTGGTTGCATCATAGCCTAATGCAATCTGTAATGATTGCATTACAATTACAATATATGCAATATTTGGCTTTTTGTAGGGACTTTCTTTTAAGAAAGGTTTCACAGTGATTTAGGTATTTTAAAATTAGACAAGGCAGAAACAGGAAGGAATTTTTATTTTAAATAAAGTAAATAATTATTTTACTTTTAAAAATAAAATTCTGGGTAGTTTTAAGTTTTCTTCAGCTAATGCTTCTTGTTTTCAAATGAAAGCTGTAAAGCATTTCTTTCTGTAGCATCCTTCTGTTTAAAACACATGTGCAAAGCTGGGGGGTGTCTGAGCACTGCGTTTGGGTTTGCTACAGAGTTTCATGCTGCGCTTTTAGCGTTCATATTTTCTCTGTAAGATCATGATATAATAGATCATCTAGAGGTTAAAATGGAACTGTAAGGCAAAAATGTGTCACCAGTATTTCGCTTTGAACTGTACTGAGAGACGATCTGGGATGGAGAGACTGAATGGACCTGATGGGTAGTGGCTGATATGTGTCTTCTGCTGTGGAGACGTCCTCTGAAATACTTTCAGGATGATGAGGATAAATGTTTAAAGAAGGGTAAAAATAGAGGAAATGTTTTTTTAAGAATGATTGATGAGAAGAAAGGTTGAAGGATTTTTTTTTTTCCTGAGAAGAAAACACTGAGGGAAGAACTGACTTTCAAAAAAAAAGCTGTGATAAGCAGGACATGGATCCATTGTTATCTGAAGAGGGAACTTGTTTTTCTCTCAGTGAGTGATATAATGATAAGAAAACCCTTGAAAGGATATCTAAGCACAGGCTGTGAAAGTCCTTCCCTAGAATTTAGTAGATGTCTGTGATTAATGTTTTATATGTGATTCAGCTCCATGTTTCTGTAATTTAGTGAATTGTGTTCTTGGCAGAGAAGGGACAGGAGGAAATTATCTTACTATATGCAAACATGTTACTTGCATGTATTCATTTGAATAAAGATAGCAGTAGCAAAATAAACCAGAAGAAATAACAAGGTAGAGAAGAAGAGGAAAAAAGGAAAGAACAAGACATTGAAATCTACAATTACATTTACATAAGTAATAAAATATGGTGAAAAAAGTTTCTGTCATCTTGAGGACCATACATTGAAGGTACTGCAGCTTGCTTCACACATGATGCTTTCAAAGTTTCTTTTCAGGGTGCTGCTATCTGGTTATGCCTTCCTACCTTTTTGCCTTTGGAGCAATAAAATTTTATATTTGCTTTTTTAAGATTATGTTCTGATAATCCATGCACTGCAGGTTGATCACAGCTTTGGTGCAATATCAGAGACTGACAGGATGAACATAACTTTACCTTCCCATCCTGACTCCTTGTCTTTGATAAATAAATAGTGGGTATTGGAGGTGTTCAGGGTGCCCTTCCTGCATGAAGGGTCTGCCTGTAGGAAACAAAAAATGTTCTTCTTTGACAGCTTTAACAGGTTCATGACAGAGCCTAGCACACATGGCCATCCCAATAGCATATGTTAAATATTCAAGACCTTGGTCATTAAAGGGCTCAAAAGTGAGGAGAAATAATTGAGCTTCTAGATGTAGGAAGGTTGGCTCTGGGAGAGCATAAAGGGAAGTGCAAGGACAAAGTAATAAGCTTAAAAAAAAATTGCAACAAGTTTGCACTATGGAGATGATGTACTTAATGAAGAGTTGAGGCATTTTTGTATCTCTCAGATATGATTAGCTAGAAAGAATTGTTGGCTCAAAGGTGATGTGCCAGAAGGATGGGTAATTGATGACCTGGAGTGCAGTAAAAAATAACGAAAGAACTAATTTAAGCATTAGGAGAGAAACCCTCCAGAGAAGAATTGTAGGTCTATTGTCACAGAAGTGAGACAGTAGGTTTAGAAGGAATAGTGGCACAAAACCTCTGTTTTTGGAAGGCTTTTTTGGTTGCTTACTTTGAGTAAGAAAAGTTTGGGAGATAATGGCCACTGAGATGTACAAAAACGATTTTTTTAAGAGTGGAATTTCTGAGAGGAAGGTGATGATGATAGACTGTGAAGAATGATGTTAGAGCTTTCTATCAAATTGCATAGGAATAATCAAGGTTTGATAGAACTAGTAGCTGGTGGCTCGAGCTGAGATGATCACTGCCTGTTATCCAAAGGAAAAAGAGAAGACAGCAGATAGGACTAAGATGTCTTCTACTCTAGTAAAAGAAGAGGTGCTTAAGTGAGATGATGATGATGAAGAATAGAGCACAAAATCTGCCGCAGTAGGTCTTCCCTTTCAAGATGTGAGGCAAAAATACGTATGTTTTAAAAATCACTTACTATCAGGATATGATCAGAATCTTAATCTTGAATGTTTGAGGTCATTATCTTAAGTTGACAGCTGCATGTAACAGAAGTTCACATGGAAGGTGATTCTGTTGTTCCTTGAGGAAAACAGAAAAGTAAACTGAATCTATTATGCCTAGCTAGTTAACTTAATTTTCTCTTGTTTCTGCTGGACACTTCTTGTGCTGTTAACATTAATGTTGAGTTGCTGGGAGAAGGGTTGGCAAAGTGTTGGCAAAGGTTGC